AGCGTTCCTTTGTTCATTCGACAAGGAAGAATTTTCCCCGCATAAATCTGCGATCCAGCGTTCTTGCGAACAATCGTGTGGAGGCCCACCAGCGGCCATCGGGGCTCGCGGCGTTTCGTCACAAGAGGCGAAATCGGTAGTGGCGTGAGCCAGCACCGATCCCTCCAGAACAACAATGCGGTCAGGTCCCCCATTCAACACCTGCAGGATAAAGGTGCCTGACCTGGTCGCACGATCGTTTGTGCCGCTGCCAAGGAAAAAGATTTAGCTACCGAATTCGATGGGGATAATAGTACGCCCTTCGCATCCCTTTCAATTTGAAGGGGTTTCCGGTAACGCAGCGGAATGAACATTTGTGCTCCCGACGGAACCTCCACCGTAGCAGCGACTACGGCAGTGACTGCGTTACCTGTAGGCGCAATGGCCAGCAGGGAAGGCAGGAATGACATCCTACGACCCCCCGGCATTTCTAAACAATCCTGGTCGACCCGTATTTTCAGCAGCATCCGGCGCAGGAAATCAGTACCCAGCAAGCATGGGACAGCTAGCGAGCGAGAGATCAACACAGGTCCTGCGGCGGTAATATTTCCGATAGCGATGCTTACATCTACCTGACCACAGATACCCATGCTACCCCCATTTGCGGCAACACACGCATCATTAACCCTGCGTATCCGCGATGTAGGAATGGACAACAAATGAAAAATAACATCTGAAATGATGGTGGCAGATGCGCCAGTGTCAACCAAAAAACGGACATCAATGCCGTCGATGGTACCCCGTACCGTCGACGAGCCCGACGCCGCAGCGACAACTCTGCGAGCCAATTTCTTCCACTGTGTAGCAGAGCGTGTAAATGGCGCAGGAGAAGTAAAATTATCCTTAGGAGTGTTAGAATGAGTGCGAGTGGATGAATGATGTGACACGACCTGCCGGGTGTCCGATTTGTGCCGACTCGCCCGAGGTTGTTGCAGTTCCGCAGCAGGTGGAGGAGATGGAGGTCCCCTTGGCGGAAGAGGCAACAGCAGAGGTCGGCAGCGGCAGTCACGGGCGAAATGGCCTCGTCTGCCGCACTTGAAACACGCGGCCGTCGTCGGCCGGCGGTCGGATGACCCGGCCCCCGCACGTGGACGGCCTGCGTAGTCACCACGCTGGTCACCCAGCCGCCGTCCCGGAATCCCATGCGGAACAGCAGCAGCCAGCATGTCGTCGTCGCCAGAGTCGTCGAGGCAGTGGACGACCAGTCGTGGAGACCACCCCAAGGGCGGCCCGTCGATTTCGGGTTTCCCCGTCCACGCCGCCATCTGGTCCCAACGCTTGATATTAAACTTATCGTCCAGGCAGCGTGCCACCCATCGCGATGTAAGCAGTTCGTGGCCGCACACTGGTAGAGAGATGTTGAGCTCCTGAGACAACTCCAGCATACGGGAAAGGATGAGAGGATCCAAATGTTCGGCCGTCGCGTCGGGATAGGCAGCCATGGCCATCGCCATCAACGCCCCCCGATAAGCCAAAGGCGACTCCTCCGATCCTCGGCGACGCGACATAAATTTTCTGGTAGCTGACGTCGGTGGGTCGTAAAATTCCGCCATCTCTGCGAACGTATCTCGCAGCGTCTTCTTCTTGGACGCCGGGATGGAGCGGAAGACCCCCAGAGAAACATCATCAAGCAGTGTAGGTAGCGCTCCCAGCGCCTCCTCCTCCGTCCAATTCACGGATCTAAAGGCTGACTCGAAGCGCCACGTAAAAGCACTCCAATCGCCCCCGGCGAGAAATTCTTTAATCTGTGGAAGGCGATGTCCGCGGTGGCAAGCGCGCGCCGCGGGCGTCTCCGACTGCTGTTCCCGCGTTCCACCCGTCGCAGGCAAAATGGCGTCCGGCGGCCGCGTGGCGGCAGGCGCGCCCAAAATGGCGGCTGACGGCTCCCGCGCAGCCGCCCTGCCCAAAACGCCGGCTTCTTCCCGCGTGGCAGGAGCAATGGCGGACTCCGATTCTTTTGTAGGACCCCTTCCCGCGGCGTCCAGCTGATCCGCAATCTGGCGACCCACGGCTGGTGAGGACGCCACCGCGGTCACCAGACTCAGCAGAATGGCGCGTAGCGACTCGATCTGCTCCGCCATTATCCGCCATCCGTCTTTCGTTCCTGCGGTGGTCGCATCTTCTCCCGGTCGACGCTGAGAGGCGTCGAGGAGAACAGTATCAGCAGGCGGCATAGGGGCTGTAGCTCCCAACAGCTCATCTTCGTCCGTCTCGGCATCTTCCTCCGATGGAGGCTCTGGCAGGTTCTTTTTTCTGAGGTGCTTGGACATCTTGACGATCGCGCAAATGGTCGCAGAAGAACTTCTGACACCAATGTAATAAACCTTCTTGAGACGGCTTCTGGAATCAGTCCTTTTTATTATCAACTTCCACAGTTACACTTTACACACTCCCCGTTGCTGACAGACAACGGAGAGAGGGCAGACTTCTCGCCAAGTCCCCACCACGCACGTGGCACCCAGAGCCCCCGTACGCGCGTGACTCCTGCTCTGCTCGTTCCCAAGTCTGCTCACGACCGCCCTCCCTCTCTCTCTCTTTATCCTTCCGTCACGTGGTACCCCCCAGCCAAGCCTCCATAGACAGCGTTGACCGTTCCCGATGGTTCCCTGTCACTCCCGGGACCACGCCTCTGATCCGGCTCCCCATTAGCTGAGGCCCCGATTGGCCAGGCCAATCACCCCTGCTAACATGCCGTGATCACGCCGAGGCCATGCTCCCTGGCTCATTTCTTATTGGCTACAAAGCTGGACCGGCAAGCCAATCCCAACGTGAACCCTCTATGGCTGTTATTACACTTCTAAGAAATGTATCTTTTGGGCCACCGTTGAGGATCCAATTTCTGTGCCAACGGTGGAGGGCAGGGCAACCCTCAACTTTCTTGTCAACTCCCACAGCCTCTCCGCCACGTGAAGGTCAAGCGCCCCCTCGCCCAGAAGTAGGTATTCCTCCCATCCCAGCAGCGCTGCCGGGAAGGCGTAGGGCATCTCGTCCTCCATCCGCTCCCCCTGGAGGAATCGTGTGCGAGCCTCCAATGCCAGCTCAGGAGTAGCTTCTTGCAGCTCGGTCACTCTTCGCACCTCCTCCACGCGTTCCTGTGCTCTCCTAAAAATGTCGCCTGCTGGCCACGGGAGGTCTTCCAGAGACAAAGGATGCTCACCATATGCATGGTCCCCCATCGAGAACCCCTTGCTCCCGCTCCGACGGAAGCTCCCGCTGGGTCTTCCCTACTGTCCTCCACGCCGTCCCCCAGAGTACGCTCCTCCACATGGCAGTCCTCCGCCATGCTGCTTGGTCAGCGCGCGACCATGGGGACATTTTAGCCATTCTACCCGTTGAGGTGCAGCTCCGGCTCTCTCTATCGATGTGCAGCGCCCGCTCTCTCTTTCTCTGTCGATGCACAGCCGCCCTCTCTCCATCGATGTACAGCCGCTCTCGCCTTCGATGTGCAGCCCTCTCGCCGTCGTGCGTAGCCGCTCTCGCCATTGAGGCGCAGCCGCTCTCCCCACAATGGCGTAGCGGCTGTCCCGCAAGATGAATAAACGCTCTCCCCACTAATTGCACTTTGCATGATGTGCTTAGAAATTGATCAACTTCGTAACTTATCATTTGAGGACATCATCAATGACTTTGCTGTCCAAAAATCACGATTTTTTTTCTTGATTTAACGTGATGTACAGACAGTACAGGTTGTATTACTGCTTTCATTTAGTAAGTGCTGATCTCTGTAATTGCTCGTATGTTGCTGTAGAGAAAAGTTTTCATATAAGCTAATTCAGAACTAATACAATATTTTAACTTGAAAGCATTTCATAATACAAATAGGCTTTTTGCAAGATATGTTTTAGTTAGATTATTCGTTTTTCATTGCATATTCGCCTAAGTATATGTTGCGTGGAGACGAGGAATGCTGTGAGGGCTGCTGCCATTTATTAAACACAGTTGAAATCAACACTCTAACTCACACCAGAGGTAGGTGCTCTCTATCTTGTCCTTTACCACGGACTCTGAACAGTATCTGGTCCTGCCTTTGGCCGTCGTTTTAGGGCTCTCTCACTCGTCTGCCCGGAACGGCGGTTTATCCAACACTGTCTGGCGATGAGGAGAGAGACACCCTCTCTCAGCCAATCCCTACTCAATACTCCGGACCCCACTCTCGGCTATTCCATTAGCTCTCCCACTCGTCTACCCAGTGTGGGGGTTCATCCAACACCGCCCGGTGACGAAGAGGGAGAGACACCTTGCAGCCGATCCATGCCCTGGCTCCCCACAACGACCACGACTTCATCACGGGGTCCCCCTTAAGTACCCTTTGGCGGCTCTTGCCCCTAGCTAGGACCCTTCTTTGTTCCCGAAGGTACCTCTTACATCACCCGTGAAATGACGTAATCCCTGTCAACTCGCTAGCACCTCTCTCTGTTCGCCCCCTCATGGTTGCCCACAATACTCCTCTACATATATGCAAAAATAAAGCTTTAATATTTATATTTAGACTACAGGTATTTGGAGCATTTGGCTGATGTAATTTTGAGCTATTATTTGTGGCCAGGTCGCTTCTGAAAAAGGGCTATATAGCTCAGTGGGCCTTACCTGGTAAAATAAAAATAAAGTATTTTCATTGACCTTTCTGATAGAATTATACACTTTTTGGTAATGCCATGGGGCTTCTTAAGCTTGACACAGCTGAGGCTCCCAGCATGTCATAATCCGGCCTTGGATGGGATGAAACCGGAGAACCTTGGAGGAAACTCATGCCAAACAAATAGAGAATACACACTCCACGCAAAAAGGCGCCCGAGTCGGCAAATCAAACCCAGAACCCCTTGCTGATAGTGCGAGTATTACCACTGCATCACCCTGTGACTGAATAGCCTGGACCCGCCCCGTTTTCCTGGCAGGTGAAGCGATGGGCATAAGGCCAAATTTCACCAACGCATGCAAAACAAATAGTATTAATCTATTACCTTTGCCATTTCTTCCACCACCACCTCAATAGCTGTAGCGGTCATTTGCACATGGCTGATGGTGCGTTCTTTTGCGAAAATCGATGTGAAGGAGGCCATCCATTTTTTTGGGAAGAATCCATGGGCTTGTCCGGCCAATAAGGAGAGAGCCAGCAGCAGCCCTACCACTCCCTTCACTCGCATCTATACAGAGAGACACAGAATGTTCAAAGTAAGGAGTTCAAAACATAATTGTATTATACGTATGTTCAATGTATGCATCACGTTGGCTGACATCTTCATAATAGGCAGTCGTTCGTGATCATCATCATGTTCACTTAACATAAGTCTTCTAATCCTTGCAACGTTGAAATATGCAATGCTCATAACGTGCATTATGTCAGTTATACGATAATTAAACAAATGTTAAATGAAAATAATATAACTTACTCATTTCATCTCTAAGCATTTTGACAAAGCATTGATGCAATGAATAACTAGCGATGTATTTAAAAATATCATAAACGCGATTATTTTACATATTTTGCAAGAAAATACAATAGTAAAAGAATAATCAGCAACGATAATCACGATATAATATTTTTCTGAACGAACGATATGATTTTCGTGGACCGTATATCAAACAAAATATATATTGTAGCATCGCCACATCGCAGCAGCCTTAAATACCTTTTTGCAACCACTGCAACTTCTCACAACGTGGCACCTGATGCGTTTACCCCCGAGAATTGGTCGCGCAGCCCTGAGGGTTTATGCCTCTGCTAGAGAGCCCCACTTGTGGAAAATATTTCGCCCACTTTGAAGAGGTGGAAATACCCACATTTTATCCCACCAAGTGCGACCTGCTGATCGACAACTGTGGTACTGTACACCCATGTGTACTGCTGGCTGGATGGAGGGGATCTTGCACCAAATATTCAAATGCTGCACTGGGACATGGGATCGAACAGGCAACCACATGATTTCAAGTCTATTACACTGCAGCAGCAGAATCCCTAATCAAGATGGCCAATAAATCCAGAAAGTGTTGTTTTTGGTTTGGTGTGGTGTGAATATCAAGCACACTCAAACATGTGCCATAAACTGAAAAAGGTCTAAACCATCCACTCCCAGTTTAGAAAAAGTGGCTATCTCAAGATACAACTAAATACTGTTTCATTCACATGACTCATTCGTACATTCATCAATGTAAGGTGCTGAAATATGCCTATTGAAAGTGTAAATAGGAAAGGACTTACATATACGGTATGGGGACCAAATTGACAAAATGCAACACGAATTACAATCTGAAAATTACCAGAAAACCCATCATAAATAAAACATGCAGGCTGGATTAAATATACAAAAACGCTTAGCCTTATCCAGACCACTAGCTCAAAATAATTGAATTTGTGCTATTTTTTTCTGAATAGAGCACCAAATGGAAGAGTTGAGGAAATGAGGCCATCCCAATGGGCATCAGTGAAACAGATACAACTTGCATACCGGTTTGTCTTTATTATGCCTCATCAGTCATTTTATATGTATTTAAAAACCGAAAACAACAGACAACTTACCTGACATTGTACACGTGCAAACGGACAGTCAGAAAGTGTGTCAAGGCCTCTGATTGGTGCAGGGAGGTCTCAAAGAGGATTGACTAACGACAGGGAATTAAAATGATTGGGAGATAAATTTAAATGTAAATGAGGGTTGACTGTATGGGAAACGGTTGACAACCATTGGAGGAGGATGTGGATTGGCTGAGGGAAATGGGGTGAGCAAATCTTCCAGAAAGGGGTCTCGATGGATATAAAAAGGGGATAGCACAAGGGAAAGGGACGGTTGGAGAGAAGACGAAGTTGGAACCAGAAGAACCAAAGTCCGGGCCTGGGAATAGTGTTGATGTCCACAATACAGGCGTTTAGTAAAGCAAGAACGTGTGTCGGCATCATTACACTTATACTGTGGTGCCACGGCATCGAAGCCATTCTGCAAGTGCCGCGACCTCCACGCCGGCCCCCACGTGGAGCACACACACGCAACGCAAACAAGTAGTGTCCTGGCAGGGGATTGCTTCCCAAGGGTCCCTATGAGGAAAGTCCCATGGTTTCCAGGTGCCAGGAGATTGGGTATGTCCCTCAGAGAGGGACATACCCAATCCTCAGAGAGGAGTATGTCCCTCAGAGAGGGACATACTCATGCTGGTGACTTTGGAGGCACACGGAGTTAGACCACACGCCCCTGCACACCGCAGCTATCGCTAACACAGGGGGCGCGAATGCGCTCACACCTGCGAGCAATTACCTCTTAACGCGCGCACACGCCGCGGCCCCGCGTTAACTCTCGCCGCGCATTCCCCCACGCAGTCACATCGCACATAAATCACAGACACCACACCTATGCTCTGTGCTAACTTTTATTCTTGGTACAAACCACGCACTACCGGGGGAAATATTTTGTGAGAAAAGCCCAGCCTACTGCTGCCTAAGTCCCCATTCACTCAAACGTCCTACCACATACCTCGTAGCTGTACTCACGGCGTCACAGAGACGCTGTGAGCGGCCCGAGAAGGCAGGACAGCAGGGGGGGGGGGTCTTGGCGGCCAATATGTTGAAGATCTTCATTCGAATGATCCTGAGCTCCCCTTTTATCCCCCTGACTTTAAAAGCCCAGGGTCATGTTGCACCGCTCAGCCAATCATGCACCTATCTGTGGTTCCAGCTCCGCTTTTTCCCATTTTTTGCCCATATGTGGAGCTCCGTGGCCGAGGCTTCTGTGATTTCTTGTCTACCCATCCGTACTCAGGAATGTATTACTCACCCTCCTTAATCCGGAATAATGCCCGACTGGTGAACACACAGCCTGCAAGTGTATATTCGTTAGGGGGGACAGGGGGGAGTTTGGTCCTGCGCTCTCTTGACCTCATGGTTTTTTCTTCTCGCTTAAGAGGAAATTGCTCGCAGGTGCGAGCGCGTTCATGCCCCCTGTGTTAGCGATAGCTGCGGTGTGCACGGGCGCGTGTTAAGATGTTATTGCTAGCAGGTGCGAACGCGTTCACGGCCCCCTTTGTTCGCGAAAGCTGCTGTGTGTACGGGCGTGTGGTCTAAGTCCGTGTGGCTCCAACGCCAGCAGCACGATTATGTCTCACAGAGAGGGCGCTAGAATGGGGGGCCCCGTCAATCGGTTGGCGAGGGCCTGGCAGGAGCCAGCTGACGCGGTGCCTAGCGAGTGTGGTAGGGTAGACGTCGGGCCCCACAGTGTGGTGTCAGATGTGGTACGACTCCCCATGCATCCAAGAGAAAGAGGCGCCCCACCCCAAGTGGCAGTAAGATACGTGTTCATCGGACAAGGGACACCATTATATAAATCGTTTGCCCGGAACCTCACATATGCGAGAGACATTAATGGCAGGACGGACACGCAAGTACTGCAGCAGCTAAATATGTATTTTAATGGGTGGGCAGCCGACTTTGTGGAAGCATTTCCCACAAGCGCACAATCACATTGGGGAGAGCTAATGCACCGACTTGACCAATGCTTCGGTGTGTAAAGGAGAGCCGACACAAGATTGCAGGGGATTCGTCTTTTAATCCTTTTCTCCCATCCACACCTGTCCCCAGCCGACCAATCTCGTTCCCGCCAAAGGCCCCTTCTTCCCGCCTATTCTCCCCTTATATCTCCCCGATTCCCCCTCCCACTAACCCTCCTATTGGTGGGAATCCTTCCCCTGACACCCCTACATCACCCCCCCCCCCCCCCCCCCCCCCGGAGAAAAAAAAAACGTCCTCGGTTCTGCCTCCCCCATGGACCATTTAAGTCTCCCCATGCCTCCTCCCACTGATAGTGACGACAGCCCTTAACCCCCCCACAACCATACAATGCAATATAACACAACAAAATAAATTGCGCGGCCTGCCCGGGTCTCCAGCCAGCCACAGGCAGCAGATGACCGTGGCGGCCCCCTCCTTCAAAGGCCCTCTCGTCGCGGTCCCTGGTTCGGATGGCGCCGGTGTCGCCTTGCCTGGTGCCGCTGTCTCTCCGGCCCCCTCGGCCCCCGGTCGTGCCGCCGCTCCGTCAGGCCTCACATGGGGCGCTGTAGGTGACAAGGGAACACAGGGCACCGAACCCCCTGCCAGTCGGCGCGTGGTGGTCGGTGACCTTGGCCCGGGTAGAGATAATGATGATGATCATGTTGGCGGTGAGATGGTGGAGATGATGGTGGAGAGATCTATGGCTTAAGGCGGGTGGGGTGTACAAACCATCGTCGCTTACCCAGTTGGACCTGGACGCACTGCGGTCAGAGTGCTTTAATGACCTCGACCGGCCCTTTCCAGGGTCGGTGCAGCTTTGGTGAGAGGCCAACCGGCACCTGAGGACAGTGTAGCCATACCTGGTCCTCGACTTTAAAGGGCTTGGCTGTTACTGTCCTCTCCCGTATCTGTACATTACTCTCTTGGCTCGTGGCCGATGCGGCCTCGACTGCTTGGCGGGCCTCTCTCAAATAAATGAGGGAGGTTTTTAGTGCCTTTGGCCATGCGTCAGATCTTGCGGGAATGTCCGTCAGCTGCACCTCAATAGGCGGAATGGGATCCCGTCCGTACATCAGGAAAAACGGCGAGAACCCCGTTGCCGCGTGTGGGGCCACCCTGTACGCCGCTAAGACCGATGGAATGTGGAGGTCCCAGTCGGAGTGGTTTTCGTCCACCACTTGGGACAGCATGGACGCTATGGTGCGGTTAAGCCGCTCCACCATCCCATCGGTCTGGGGATGATATGGAGATGTTCGGACCTTTTCAGTGCCCAGGATAGAGCAGACGTCCTTCAATAGCCGTGAGGAGAAATTCCTGCCCTGATCCGTGAGCAACCGCTCCGGTGTCCCCTTATCAAGGACATAGCCCCCTACGAAGGCATCGGCGATGGTCTGTGCCGTTTGGTCCGGGAGGGCCCACGCCATCGGCCACCTCGTGCAGTACTCGACCCCAATCAACAGGTATTTATTTCCCTGTGGCGTGACCGGCAGTGGTCCCAGGATGTCCAATGCAACCAATTCGTTGACCCTGGTCACAGAGATGGGCTGTAGGGGCGCCCGGCTTACCCGGGGTGGCGGCTTTCGCCATGCATATTCGACGCAGGTAGCGACCCATCGGTGCACGTCAGCGGTCATGCCTGGCCAAAAGTACCGACCCTGTAATGTGTACAGT